GGCTCTGTCTCAAAAAAAAAAAAAAAAAAAAGAGTCATGATTTGGGAAGCTGAGAGAAAGGTATGTGGTAACTCTCTGTACTAGTACTGTAACTTTGCTGTGGGTGTAAAATTAGATTAAAGTAAAAAGACAAAAAAAGAAATGGCCCTAGGTGGCTAGGCTTGAGGAAATGGATCTTTGCACACACTGGATGGGCCAAAGGTACACTATCGAGTCAGCAATTCTGCTTCTGGGAATTTACACCAGATTCACACAGGTATAAAAGGCCTTGCTAAGCCTACCAACCCTGCAGCATAGTTTACAATAATAAAGAACAAGGAAAGCCCCTATAAGATTATTCACAATCTCAAAAATTCCAGTATTTCTGTCAGCTGAAATAAAGAATAAGGAAGTTTTTTTTTTTTTAAGACAGTGTTTCACTTATTAACCCTAGGTAGAATGCCGTGAAGTCACAGGTCGCAGCAACCTCCAACTCCTTGGGCTTAGGTGATTCTCTTGCCTCAGCCTCCCGAGTAGCTGGGACTACAGGTGCACGCTACAACACCCGGCTATTTTTTTGTTGCAGTTTGGCTGGGGCTGGGTTTGAACCCACCACCGTTGGTGTATGGCCAGGTGTTGTGGTGGGCACCTGTGGTCCTAGCTACTTGGGAGGCAGGAGACTCGCTTAAGACCAGGAGTTGGAGGTTGCTGTGAACTGTGATGCCACTGCACTCTACCCAGGGTGACAGCTTGAGGATCTGTCGCAAAAAAAAAAAAAAAAAGGAAAGAAAGAAATCAAATAGTAGTAATTAACATAAAAAGAGGAGTTTGGGTGCCATTGGGATTTGATTTCTTATCCTCTATTGCCTCAGGGAACTTGCTTCTCTCTCTGAGGTATTTCCTCACTCATAAATCCAGGACAGTCATAAACTCCCTAATGAGGTGGTTAAGATCATCTGTTGAAGGCTCCCACCTGTAGTAATCACAGCACTTTGGGAGGCTGAGGTAAGAGGATCATCTGAGGCCAAGAGGATGAGACTAGCCTGAAGAACATGGAGATACCTCTCTACCAAAAAAATTTTGTTTAATAAATGAAAAGATCATGTGTTGAGATATTAGGAAGCACATTAAATGAAAAGCTGATACTATCAGTTAATAAAATGTTATTCAAGATAAACAAAGCTGGCTCGGCGCCTATAGCTCAACCAGCTAAGGCGTCAGCCATGTACACCTAAGGTGGCGGGTTCGAATCCCCAGCCCGGACCCGCC